ACTTTAACGACTTTAATTAAGACTTTAAAAACATTTTTTTATTAAAAATGTTATCAATACATTACAATCACAAATTTTAACACACTTCTATACCTTAAAATAATAAAAAATATTTATTAATTTCTTAATTATGATACTAATTAATTTTTTGAAATACAAGAATAAAAACAAAAATAGTAAAAATAAATAGCATGATAACTTAAACTCGTGAAGCGCGTCTTGAAAATGGTAAGACACGTGTACCATTTTTAGATGGATTATAAATGGTGTGGCGAGGTGTCTAAGCATATGGGATGAAAAAAGGTGACAATAAAAAGTCATAAATGGCTCATTTATGAAACTTAGTATTTTGGTGGGATTGTGATTACTGCATTAATGCTCTTACCTACGCTGAGTCAATGCAGCGCGCACCGAAACAGCGCCGATGAAAATGATATACAATAGCATGAGGCGAATGTTAACAAATTTTTAAAAATGAAAAATAATAAACAAAAGTAAGCTCTTATTTTTAGACGTAAATGTTTTATTTTTGTTAAAAAATTTCCCCTATTAACTCTTAATGATATACTACCTAAATTCCATGTCAAAATACACCTGATTGTGTGCATGTCCGATGATGGTATGGGGCTATGGCATAATTAGCCCATACTAGAGCATCCTTAGTTTACACCAAAAACGTGTACTCTGTTGTGCTTCTCGTTGATTAAAAAAAATGCAAAACTAAGAAAGATGGGAAGAAGAGACAGAGAAGATAAAACAATGCAAAAGAAGACGATTGTAAAACGAAGTCATATACACATATACATATATGAAAGTGCTACAGAGCGACAAGGAAAGATTAAACATATAGCATATATATATATAATAGAATAATCAAAACCAGTCACTAGTGTCGAGAACCTGACCCTGACCCCAAGTAAGCACCCTTGCCAGCCACTCGTCGTCAAAATCTTCTTCATCATCTTTCTTCTCTTCACTGACTGCAAGCCCCAGAGAGGGATCATCATCATGCACGTCTTGCAGCCGCTCTGGCTCTACCACCAATGACCCATTTGGAGAATGAGAGGGAGTGGGCGTGGGGGAAGGAGGTTTAGGGAGAGGTGAGGAGGCGATGATCTCTTTGTAAAGCTCTTGCATGACCTCTTCAATGGTTTCTTCTTTGAAACAAAATTGGGTTGCATCGTTGTCTGAATCGGTGAGAATCTCGTGGAGCTTTCGGGTGAGAGGTTCGGTAAAGGGAGAGGGAGCACTCTCTTCTTCCATCAAAACCAAACACAGTTATCTCTTTCTTCTCTCTCTGTCGGTCTGTGTCTGAGGCAAAAATTAACAGAGTGTGATTCTGACTTTCTGGGACTTTGTAATTGATATTGTTAATGGAATGGGTGAAAGAGACAGAGTGCGATGCCACGCTGGCATTGTGGCAGGAGTGACGTGGCGCGTTTCGATGCCGATGTCTTCTTCCGGGGAATCCTCGTATGACGAAAGCATCCGTCTTGGTGGTCCGTTCAGCCTCGTATCGCTCATGGAAATAAATTTTCCCTCCCATGACGATCTATCACCTGTCATGTGCTGCCATGTTATCCACGGATCCATTCACTGCAGATGATCTCAACCCTTAACTCACCCGTCATTTCCATGTCCATTTTTGCACAAAGTTATATACCCCGCCAGATTTTGACATGTCATATAAATCTTTAAAATTTATTTAGTGTGAAATTAAAAATATATTTAAAACATTATAATCAATAATATTAGAAATAAAAACAAAATTATATCAAGATTGCTAGGGGGAAAACGTTCAATATATCATCAAACAAATATTATCTCAACTCACCATGTGTATCGAAGATCACTAATCTTAGCTGATGATTAATATTCACCCTCTATTGCCTACGTATAAACCTTCTGTCATTAATACTGTCCAAAGTTAAATTAGTTATGTATTGAACAACCACCATAAAATCAATTCACATGTTTATGGTCTTGTAACTCAAGGACCAAGCCAGATTCAAGACCTCCCAAAGTTTTACTACATAAATTGAGGTTTCCATATAATTCCATTTGGAAGTGAGCAACTAATATCAACTGCATTGGTACCCGTAGTAATTCTCTCTTATTCCTACGTACCTTAGCCGATAATTTTGCAGCCATAGCTGAATCACAGCCTTAGAACAAATTGGTTAGAACAGAGTGCATATCAAAGTTTTATTTATTCCTCCAAATCCAGAGTCATAATAAGTTGTGGCTCAACGTGAATTTCATCTCGAATGAGAAACCGCTGCCAAACGCTTTAGTAAGGTTCAACCTTATCCGGCCACTATATGATGTAACCAGCAAAAAATTGACTTGTTTTGCAATGTCTATCCCAGGTTTCCGAACAACAATTAATAGATAGTCACGTAGAACACGTATTTTAAGATGATATTAGGTTTCGAAATAATAGTTTTATTAACCTTAATTTTTAGAAGTTAACTTTAATTATTTATTATACTTTATAAATTTATGTAATTGATAAATTTTAATTTAAACTTTGTCATTGTAATTAATTAAAATCAATCTTTAAAATTGTTAAATATTTTTTATAATTAAATTTAAAATGAATAAAAACTCAAATTGGGTAACATTTTAAAAAGGGCTCATGATAAACAAATGAAATTTATTATAATTTATAATTAATATATGCACCTTAAGTTTAAAAAATTAAATAATATTTAAAAATAAAATAAAAACAATTTAAAGTTATAAAGAACTTTTATTTTATTTTGTCATATAAATATTTATTAAAAAAATTGTCTAAATTAAGTCACCTTATCATTTACTTGATTTGGAAATAAATTTTTCAGTTTTAAAAAATTATTATGTCTGTCTTCATTATGAATGAGAAGAGATTATGTTAAAAAAAAAAAGTTAAATGGCAATTTAAAATATTTATAGACATAATAAACTGATCTCGTTTAAGCAGCAACAGCTGTAATTATTATTATATTAAATGCCTATTTTCCAATATTTTTCTGTCTCTTTTCTTCCTCAGGCTCTTTAACGTTGATCCCTTAAATAAAACTCCACCACGACAATGAAACATCCTTAGGCCTTAACAAGATCTATGTAGCACCTAAATAAAACATTTTGAACCTTAAAATTCCGAGTATTAGTTAAATCCATTATTTTTTTGGGGTTTACGTGAGACTATTTAAAAAGAGTGTTTTTTCATGTCAACTTAATTAATTAAAATATGAGAAGAATTATAAGTGCAAAAGGTTGAACATATACCAATAGTTTGTTTGTTTTTTATATCTTTGTAAAATTCATTGTGAATCTCTCCTTAAACAAATTATAAAATTAAATGGGCTAAATTGTATAGGTCCCTATTTAAACAAGTTTATATGATGGAGCCCATGTGATTCTGAGATTAAACGGGTTACGGGTTAAGCACCAGGCCGATCCATCTATATTTTAAATTTTACTTGTATTTTATTATTTTTCTTTAAAATGGTTAGTTTTTGAAAAATTAAATATTTTTTGCGAGTTAATAAATTAACCTGCGATTCACGAACTCAATATGTTTGACCTGCTAATTACGGGGGCCAACCTGCATAAATTTACCCTTAAACAAGTGACGGATTTTTAAACTGAAGCTTGCAAAGTATGAATACTTGCAGACCTACCATGGACATGCCTTTCAAGTCCATGTTTTATTCATGCGCTGACCCTAATGCCGCACACTATTTTCATTTGTTTTAAATCTTTTGTTAAAACAAACACCGTATTAGAACTAAGATCACAACATGTACATGCGTAAGATCAATGTTTGGAGGACATTGCTTTCACTTATTAATTTTCAAACTTGTACATCCCACACATATAATTGACCCGTATTTTTAAAATAAGTAATTAAAAAATTAATAATTTTTATTAAAAATTACAATAATAAAGATGAAAATCACGGTAAGGTATGGTAATATATTGTATGATGATATATTATAAATTACGTCGATGTATATTAAAAAACAAAGTATTAAATATTTTTTATATTTTTAAGATAATAAATGGGTGTATTGTTTTCATTTAACACATTATATAAAGTAGGAGAATGATTATTTAAAAATTTTGTAAGAAATATACCAAAGTTATTTACCATGGAATAATTCCAAATCTGTTTTCCCTTTAAGCCTATAAATTATTCTAATTATTAAATAAATAAAATATTATATATTTTTTATATTTTAAAATAAATATATATTATTTAATATATACTTATAAAATAAGAACAAATTATTAAAATGCTTTATGAGAAGATATACTCTGTATGACTATACTTTTGTTGAGAAACTTATCAGGTAACTTGATTCAAATATGTTTACATCCATTTAATAATAAGATAAATAATTATACACTAAAATTTTATGTACTATACAATTTTTTAATATTGATTTTTCAAAAATATCTAAAATTATAAAGAAAATGTGTAATGGAAAATCATAAAAATATAAGTAAAAATATTTAAGATTATTATGTATAAGTAATTACAAATATTTTATATTTTAAATTTTAAAAGAAAGGAAATTAAGAAAACTATTATTTTTCAAGGAGTATGCCAAGAAATTACGTCACTCTCATATGTATAACAAAATTATTTTGAAAGATTAATTTAAGAATAAGCAGCTTAGATTTTGAAAAGGATAAAAATTTAGCATACAAAGTTAAAATTAATTTGTTTGCCATAAAATTTCCGTGTTTTGAATAAAAAAAAGAGATAACTTTTTTTAAGAAAAAACATGTTCCAACTGTGAAATTTTGCCTTTAAAAATATTTTAATGACAATATTATTTTATTTATACAAGTAGACGAATATAAGTATATTATAATTAATCATGAACATGTAAGAGCATATAAACTTGTGAAGCATGTAGGATGAACTTGATTATCGTCACACAAAGGCTTGGGAGAGAATTCTCAGGAATACGCAGACACATAAAGTTATACACAGGAACGGGTTTTGCAGAGTGGAAGAGAAAGTGATATTAATAGGGAACAAAGTAGTAATTACAACTAAAACTATAGATGGGGGAAAATCATGCCCAAATTGCGAGCGAAGACATCAATCCAGCCCCAAGGAAAAGCATACAATAAGACAAAATCTGGAGCCTAAAGTTACAACTCATTCTCTTGCTAAGAAAATCTGCAGCTATCAAATCTACCAAAGCCATATACACTAAAATCCCTGCTGACAAGGAATCCAATATACCTTCGGTGACAAGTGCACCTGTGCTGTAAGGGTTATACACCGAAGCAATACCCGTTCCAATCCCAACACCCAACGGCGTCGTTAGAGCAAAAAAACAAGCCATTATTGTAGCAGATGATGCCTTGAACTGCGCCTGTGAGATGCACCCTCCAAGCGCGAACCCTTCAAAAAACTGATGAAACGATAATGCCGCAATCAAAGGCCTTATTGCACACGGACTTTGCGAAACTCCCAGAGACAACCCAATTATCACCGAATGTGACACTATCCCAAGTTCCAACACCTGCAGTTGCACACTTCTTAATCGTCTTCGCTGACCACTATATAAATAAGTAAATAAAATAACCGTTAGTTAGTTAATTACCTGCGAAACGACGACGTGTCTGACGTCAGTTTCTTCCTCGTCTTCGATGTGGGAGTGACCATGCCCGTGCCCGTGCCCGTGCCCGTGCCCATGCGCGTGGCCTTGTTCCTTCACGCCCCCAATGCCATGACATGCTTCATGGCCATGAGGGTGGTTATGTCTATGGTGAGCGGCGTGTGCATGCATCCCCACTATGTGCATTCCACCGCTTTCCTCTTCCCCAAACACTTTCCCTCCATTCCACTCCACAACACCGGGTTCCGATGAACCGACCCGAGATTGCTCCTCCGATGCCCGATTCAGCCCCTGCTTTCGCTCGTAATACTGAGTCCCCACGAAATCAAGGAGGAGAGTGAAGAGCGCAGCCATCATGGCGAAGAACCCCGTGAAGGGAAACTTGGACCATGGAAACGAAGGCAAGCATGGATGGTGGAGCGCTTCCGACGCGTCCGAAAGCATGTGGACGAACCCGGTGGCCAGAATCACCCCCGCCGCGAAGGCCTTCGCGGCCACGAAGAGATTGCCGTCGGTGCGGAGGAAGCGACGGTGTTTGCCGATGAGTGGGATCGCGATTCCGGCCATGCCGGATAATAGAATGGAAGCGATGGCAACAAACTTGAGAACGAATGCGGCTGACTCATCTCTGCAGAGCTCTAACTCTGTGCCTCCACAACTCGAGTTTGTCATTGATTGTGGAAGGTGCTGGAAAAGCGACGAATTTTCTATTTGGGAAAAAGCACCGTCTAAAGAGTTTAGATTCCCTTTAAAATAATTGATTGACCTATATTCGAGTGCGAATTGTAAATAATTTACTATATAAAAAAAATTTAGTGATGCAATGGATTGAAATTTATAGGATTTAGAATGATTTTGAATTACCTGAGAAGCGAGGAGTTTTTCCAACGAGTCGCTGGAGCAGTGGCCACAGATCCTGAGAAGAAAAAGGAAAAAGAACGATCATTATCGATTACATCGAAAGCGGTTGGGAATAAAGCGAGAAAAAGAACAGAGGAAACCTCAATAAAAAACATGGGAGTGCTGGGAAAAGGATAGGATAGGAGAGAGGAAGATGATTGTTGGATGAAGAGAAGGTAGATTTGCTAATTAGTGTTAATAAATAAGATAGGGAAGAGGGTTGGGAATGGCATTGAGAGGGGTAGAAGCGTGTTGGCGAAAGAAAGAGGAGTGTCGTCATATCCAAGAGAGAAGAAGAGGGAGAGGAAGAGGTGGATGCTTGGCTTGCGACTTTTTGCAATGAAATGAGCGCGATAGTGTCGACATTCTTTCATCACCTGTCTGTTTCTCGACATCCCTCGACGTTTTTTGTTTTTTTTATTCTCCAGACACTGTTTAATTAGATTTTTAATTTAACCATGGCATGTTCTTTTCCCTTTTTCGTTAGGACTAGGAGATTATCTTTCATTAATCATGTTTCCTACGCTACTAAAAGGACCATTATAAGTAAGAAGTTTGTATGACAAAATAAAAGTGAAAAATAAATTTGTGGCTCAATTTTGATTAATTTAATAATAATATAAAAGTTAAATTAATGTAAATTGATATTTTATAATTTTAATTGGATTGGTTCTTTTGAATACTCTTTGTTTTTTTAATGATAGTTTTTACTTTTTTTGTGAATAATTAGAAATATTAATTAATTTATGCATAGAGTTGTAATATATAAATTTCATCAATAATTATTTTTTAATTAAGAGGTAATGTTTAATAAATAAAAAATTAAATATGCAATTATTATAATAGATTAATTTAAAATATTGAATCTCAGTATATATTACAATTTAGTCTAAATTATAAATCATAATAATTTTAAGTATTTCTAAAAATTATAAATATATTTTAAATTAATATTCATATATGAATAGAATATAAAATAAATATAAAATTATGATATAAATGATTTAGAATATACTTGAGCGCAAAAGTAAAAAGTTATAATTATGATGATTTTTTTACTACAAAAATAAATTATAAAATCTTAATAATAGAAGTTTTGTGAAATTTTCAAAAGATTATAAACCTATGTTAGTGTTAAACATGTTTTTAATTGGAGTTCACGAATCATGATTATGATAGTTTCCCACCTTGCCTTCAGCTATTTTGACTCGAAAATGTGTCATTTAAAATTAAATTTAAAAAAAAAGGTTAACCTAAATATAAATTATTAACATGGAAAAAATTGTTAAAAATAAAACATAAAAAATGTAACGTATTCCGTATGATATATGTCACATTCTAATTACATGACTTAGATTGGATGGGTGTAATGTATGGAAGATGATGTTGCATTTTTTATAAATATTATAATAAATTACAATTATCACCATTTAAATGATTTTTAATTAGTTTAAGTGAGATAAGTAGTAGCGGTTTAAATTTAATTTCTAACAATTTAATCTTAGTTATGGTTCTTTCAATAAAGTATATGCACAACTTAGTCAGTGACATAAAAAACTTTGAAATTACAATAAAAATATTATAGATAGTACGAAATAAAAATGCTATAAAAAAATCTAATGAAGTTACTTGTCATTTAAAAAAAAAGTTGTCTTTTTTAGTGCAAAAATTTCCTTGTTTATTTTTTTTTTCTGGTATGTGAATTTAATTTTTAATTTTTTTAAAAAATTACGACAATTTTAAACCGTCAATGATAGATATAAGTTGCAGAAAATTAGGTTCAAATTGCTGCAATCCACAAACATATAAATACTTAATAAATCTTTTAGTGTCTAAATAGTGTTAAAAGATGAATGAAACACTCAATTTAATTCATATTAATTAGTTGTTGTGCAGATTTAAAATTTATTTTTTTAATGTATATTTGTCAAAAATTGACAATTTTTATTCATTTATGCATAATATATATATATATATATATATAAGCAATTCTACATGTTAGCCACAATAACATCAAACATAATAATAATAATGTATAAACATACATATTATTTTTTCATTATTATTATTATTTACTTTATTTCATTGATTCACAAAAAAGAAAAAGAAAAAAAAGTCACTCAAAAATTATTTCTTTATTATTTATGTCTGATTACATGATTGGTTTTTTTTTTATGTTGTTTGTTCATAAAAAATAAAAAACAGTAAAAAAAAATTAAAGGAAAAGGATAAATAGTTTATTAAAAAATGTTACTTCACAACTTATTAGAAGATTTATTTATTTTTTACTTTGCTGATTTACAACGAAAGAAAAAAAAGGAGAAAAAGAATAAATAATTGAATCATTATCACAATCTAAGTGGATAATTTGATGTTAAAAAAAAAACTTATATCAATAGTAAATTTTGATTCTTAAATGACTATCTTTCTTTCAACTTTATGGCTTAGATATGATTTTTTTAAAGATATATGACTTAATAATTAAGAGTTTTTTTTTTTACCACTTTTGAAATTTTGATTTTTCTCTCTTTTCTCCACTCTCCTATTTATATCTCATATAAAATAATATTTATTTTATTAAAATCTCCATCAACTCTTTCATCTCCTATTTCTTACTAACTATCCAATTAGCTTTTATTCAACATCTTATCCACATGTCCAACCTTCCAAAAAATAAACTTATTATTATTATTTTTAGTTTTTCAAATAATTTTTATTCATTATTATCTTATCCATTTATTTAAACTTAAAAAATATAATTATTATCTTTATATTTTTAATTTTAAGTTTTATTCTTATTCTTATTTATTATTTTGAAATAAAGACACAATTAAAATTAATTATTTATGGCGAGGACAGAGTTGACGATTATTTATTTCTTTATTTTAAATATGAGGATGTGTCTACCCATACACCCATTAAGTTCCGGTCCATATAACATGAATATAATTAGGCTAATGCTAACTTATATTTTAAAGGTATTAACTAAATATTTAGATTTATATCTATGAAAACATTATTATGCATCTATTTTTAATATAAATTCATCTCTTAAATAATTAAAAAATTAATTATTAATTATAATATAATATTAAACTAAAACAACTCATATTAGTAAATCTACGTATTTGGTAGTTAAATATATATTTCTTTTTAATAGCACTTGGTGATCAATTATTTTATATAAAAATAATTATGGACCGAAATTTGATTGATAAAACTAATCAATTTAATATGCAAGTTACCCGATATAATATCGAGTTGGATCAATATCTTTCTCGTAAGAGATCAATTATAGACTAAATAAAAAAACTTTTAAGAACATTGCAAAAAATTATGAATGAAAACATGCAATTAATAAGCTAAAAAGGAGCAAGAATATAAAACTATAAAGCAAATAGAATGAAACAAAAGAGTAACGCAGAATTAAATTACTCAAAAAGGTTTTATTTATTTCAATCAATATGATCATAGATATCTAATAACTTTACAATAAATTTTATGAATATTTCTGTCTCTCTTCAAAAACATAATTTACATGTGCTTAGCACTGCTAAAACGTATGCGTGACACTTAAAAAAGTTATTAATTGTCATACACTTTGATACAAATATTTGAAGTCACCCACCCTTTGTCTTTATCTTTGGACCAAAAGTCTTGAAGTTATTGATTGTGTAGGAGTCGAAATTATGGTTGATATGCTATCTTCTATTAAACTGCATTGTTCCTAAACTGCTTTAGCTTCTGTCTCACACTGAGAGGAATATTTTGAAAAGATAGAACGATTCTTTTATACATGCAAGCTTTCTTTTTAAAATTATATTGTGAACACGCAGTCAAAACTATTAAAGAATAAAATGATAATACAAGGGGAAAAAAATAGAAAGATTCTCAATTCTTTCTTTTTATTCTTTACTTTATTTGTGTTTCTCCTTTTTTAATTTCATTTTCCTTACGTGTAAGATGTGCTGAAAAAAAATTGGTTTTATATATTAATTAAAAGATAATTGATTCACTTAATGTAAAAGTAAGTTTATATTGTTTAAGTTAGTGTTGTGTGATCTTTATGATTATATAAGAATAATATCGTGTTTTTTGCTGATGTGTTAGATAAAAGAGAATTATTAGATTCTATTATGCTAAATCTTAGAAGTGAGTGTCAGTGTATAACAAAAGAGATTCAATTACACTTACTAATTGTTATCTGAAGTTTATGATTCTTTGTATTTTTCTTGTTTTTTGAGATTCTGAATTTGTTTTATTTTTTTATGTAAAAGTTCTGAGTATTTCTATTACTCGTTTTAATAAGATTTGTCTATTCATGAAAAAAAGTAAGTTTATATTTTTTTAAGAGAAGACAAATTTTATTAATCTATATTAATGAATTAAGTTTGTAAATAATTTTGTTAAAATTTTAAAAGTAGAATAAGTTTATTAGTATATTAAGTTTACACAGATTTATATTTTATTAGATAGTTTTTTTTAATAAATAATATATTTTTTAGAATATAAAAAATGTTGATTATAAAATTTATGAAATATTTGGTACATATGGTAACATAACAAAACATGTGTACCAAATAGGGTACTATTTGGTCATTTATACAAAACAGAGAACTAAACACTCCTTTATCCTTACCTTTGGATGACGGTACCAATACTCCTTTGGCCTTACTTTTAGACGAAGTGTACTAACATTCCATCGGCCTTATTTTTGGACAAGGGATATCAACACCCTTGCCTTCACTCATTGGACTAGAGATATTGACATTCCTTTAATCATATTAAAATAAATTAACAAATTAATTAAGGTACCAACAAATAAAAAGTTAATTATTCAAACAATCAAAAGGTTAATCCAAAGTTGACTCATCAGGCACATTAAACCAATATCCTTTTTATAAAAGAAAGATAAGAAGGACAAGTAAAATGATTTATTTCAGAATATTTAATAATATTTATTATTTTATACCAAATACTTACTTTATCGTCAGAGTATGACAAGAGGAATTTAAATTTTTTTTTAAGGACGTCACAACAATACAAGAGGATGGAGTTACAATGAATAAGTATATCCTTTACAGAAACAATATAATATTTAATTTATTCTATCATGTTATTTTTGGTATTTGTTGATTAAAATATATGATATTTTACTTTATTAAGTTATATTGACCAAATATTATATTCAACTAAAGTGAGTGATGATTTAAGAAGCATAAGAGTGTGATGACATTTTTCTATTTCAGTTTGATCACATTTTATATTTTTTTAATGTTTAAAAAGTCAATATTTTAAAAATAAAAATTAATAATTTTTATAAAAAATATTAAAATAATTTTAATTTTTTAAGAAAAAAGTATTTTAAATTATCTACTTAAAATATTTTAATCAATTTATAAAATATTTTTATATTTTTATATTTTTTATTGTAATTATAATTCTTTTCTTAAAAATATTTTAATTATAAATAAATTGTTCCAACTCAATCCATTGAATTATTATCGGGGTTGGGTAAAATTTTTTATACGAACACCACCAAACTCAAACTTGAGGATGAGGATTAATATGATTAAATTAGAATAAACCCGTGTTCATTGATGCAGGGTAAGCGAAAACGAATATATTTTTATATTTATTTTGATATTATTGAAAATTTTTTCTATGATAAAATTATATTTATAAATTTGTAACTTATTTTAGGTATTTTTTTGAACAAAATCAGTTTAATTCAAACTCATTAATTTTTTTGGCTTAAGCGCTGCAAATTCTTTTGAGTAGTTTAAATCTGAAAAAAAAAAAGGGTTAGTTTAGGCTGGAGTCATCGAGTGTGAAATATATTAATCTTATTTAAAATATAAACTCAAGTGATAATCAAACTCAACTATTTATCCACCTAAGAATGGGCCCAAAATGAGTCCTGAAAGAGAATGGGTATTACCTAAAGGCCCAATAATATTTGTCCCAAAAAAAGGCCCAAGGATAGAACAATAGCACAGTCGAGAATAAAAAAGATCCTATAGATTCGCCCGTTTGTTTACGTTACGCATTGACTGCCACATTAGAAACGTTTATTTCAAAGCATGTGGGCCCCACCTAAATCAAATCAAAACGGCCACATGAAACAAGCAAAGCAAGTATTTTTATTTATTTATCTACTCGGTGTGTGTGTTTTGTTTATTCTATATGTATTTTTTTAAAATAAATTGTTACCCAAGGGATGAGTTGTACTATGGATAATAAATTATTAATATTTGATTAATTATATCTATAAATTTTAAATTATTAATTAAGTTAAATTAATTTATATTAATTGATAGTATTTTGAATGGAAATTCAAATCTAGAGTTAAATAAAATTAATTTTATTTAAAATAAATTTAAATTATATAATTTATATTTATTTTTAAACTAAATATAATAAAAGTTGGTATATTTTTAATTTTAATATAAAATTATAATTTATTTAATAAGTTAGAGACAAACTCAATATTAATTGCAACAAACAAACATATTAGCATAATAATTAAATTTTTATTTTATTCAACATGATTTTAGAAATATAAATGTATTCAAAATACATAAACTTGTTTTTATTAAAATATATATTTTTAAAATAGACCTTTTCAAAATCAATGGGATTATACAATGAAAAATATACATTTACTCATTATTAATTCAATATCAATTATATATATATATATATATATATATATATATTTTAATAATGTGTGTCTTTAAACACACAATTTTTTATACTAGTTTTTTAATTAAAAAATATAATATATCACAAATTAATATATATTAACAAATTAAATCTTATAATCTTAATAAAAAATATATTTCTTATTTGTGAATTTTTATCACGTGTAATTGACATACGTTAAAAAGAATAATAATTATTTTTAAATGTTTTTAATTCAAATGAGAAAATTTGTACATTCTTTCACTTAAGAAAAATAAATTAAAAATAAAAACGAGAATGGAAATTTTGAAATGTAAAACGAAGATGTCCCTTGTTTATTTGCATTCGAAGGAACTGGGAAGTCAAATCAAAACCGAAACCAAAACCTGAACGACAAATTTCTTTGTGGCAGAGGAGGGACACTGTTGTTGTGTTGTGTTGTGTTGTGTGTCCAGACAGAAAAGAGACACTTTTTTCCAAACCTCCAAAGCAAGCCCAGGGTTTTTCATCTCTATCCTTTTTCCTTTGAACAAAACCTTCAAAAAAGAAAGAAAGAGGGGAAGGAACGAACCAACAATGGGAATGGGATGGGTGGCAAATCAACAGTGCAGAAGGTGGAAGACAAGTCGTATATGGGGAGCAACATTTCTCTTTTGCATCTGCTTCATCTTCTTCACTCCCACAATTCCTCGCTCTCCCAACCACCACCAATTTGTTGACATGCGAAATCTTCTTGGTACACTTTCTTTACCACCTTTTAATTTCGTTTTCGTTGCTCCCTCCATCTTCTCATGGTTTTTGGTTCTTCAGGAGTACCCAACACGTTGAATGTGATGACAAATTTCCCATTTTTAGTTGTGGGTGTTTTAGGCTTTGTTCTTGCCCTTGAAGGAGGGGTCTTTAACATAAGGTTTCGACAATTCCTGCGACCCTTTTAATCAAATTGGTTAATTCCTCTTCAACCGTTAACTTGCATTGTGTTGTTGCAGTTCTCAAATAGAGGTCTGGGCTTGGGCACTATTCTATGCTGGAATAGCTGGGGTGGCTTTTGGTTCTGCTTACTACCATTTGAAGCCCGATGATCATCGTGTGTTGTGGGACACTTTACCTGTTAGTTACTGTTCTATGTTTGTTCTGTGTAATTCTTTTCCTTTTCCACCCTCCAATTTCTCTGTTGTTTTGAATTTATGGTAAATGTAAGGCCTTTTCAAACTGGATGATTGATTTGGTGCCATGCGAGATTAAACTAGCACATTTTAATTTCAATACTCAAAGTACTCTTCTTGCAAATTGTATTCAAATGGGATCTCTGCCTGTTGCTTTATTTTTTTTCATCATGAACCTTATTGAGTTTGTCAATGGCAGATGATGTTGGCCTTCTCTTCGCTTTTGTCTAGTTTGGTTGTTGAGAGATTTGGCCAAAGGATTGGGTTGTGTTGTTTGGTTACACTCATTGTTGCTGCCTTTCTTTGTGTAGTTTATGAACGGTTAGTTTTTTTTTTTTTTTTTTTTTTTTTTTGTCTTTTTAATTTCGTGTATTTCTATTTTGGAATGCTTATACATCAAGTGAAGGGGCTATAACTGTAGCCAATTTTATGCTGAATTCTGTCTGCTAGTTGGTTGCAGAATTTATAATGATATTCGGTTCTGCATGATGTTCCAGTTGAGTCTGCCTCTAGCTATTCCAGTAATAGCAGTCATGTACCGCTCCAAATATACTCACTCAAGATATTGGTTGTTGTCTACTGGTAAGCCCTGAGCTTTGTAATTCTTTTATTTTGCTCAACAAAGTTTCTATTTGGCTGAATTTTCCTGTTCACTGGAGTTAGTAATAGAACTAAAGCAAAGTGCCTATGATACATCTGAAAAATCAAATATAGGCAGAGCAGTTCACTTGCAACTAGAACTCAAGCTTTGCTTAATTATTGTTTATCTGTTTATAATTTTATCTCTTTTGGGACCAGCTGTCATTACTCTAATGAAGTTAGTATAATAGGGATTCAAGAGTGGAGTAAAATAAGTAAACCTTATGCCATTGGCAGCATCTGAGATACGTTATCTGCTAACTGGATTTGGGTGGACAGCTCACAAACTGTAGAATGTTTAATATGAGAAAGGATGCTGTCATTCTACCTTTTAATCACATTTGCTATATACTTCTGATGTTGAGTAATGGATGAACTTAATGAATTTTATATTTGAATGGAAATGTGTTTGCTAGTAAATTGGTTAGATTTCACATGGACAGTTTAATTGGGGTCAACTGGTCTAGATTGTTGAAGTTGCATTGACAATTGTGGGCTGATTTTGAACATAGTTTCTCTGTTCCTGATTTGATGTATATCCTAACACGAGGTGGCTTTCTGGGCTTACCGATACCATATTAGTGCTCTATCCGCGTTTTTAGTTTTTAAGGCTTGGAACTTGTACTTACTAGTTGACCTTCTACTCAGAAACAATGATCGTTTATGAAGTACAACTTCCACTGTGTGTGCGCCACCGGCTTCATAACTTTCATTGCATCCATTATACTCTTATCTTTAGTTATAATTGGCAATGCCATGTTTTGATTAGACTGGACAAAGTTCACTAAAGAAGTGCATCTTGATGTCTGAAGTTCACCACCTCTTGCATATCAGCTAGAAGTACATTTTTCGCTTTTTTTTAATCCTTTGTATTATTTTAGATTTTCAATTCAACCCCACCCTTCCTTGGTTTTTGGTCCCTTGAAAGTTGAAACATTATTCACTTATAAGTCACTGCCCTAAAAATGTCTATGTTCCTTCAGTTGGACTGTTCTTGAATTATGTAAAACTTTATAAAGAAAATAAAGCAGCTGTGAACATACGGATTGAGGATATACAAGTTTAGAAATGATCATATTCTATTAATTATTGTGGATATTCTTTGAAGCCTGAATTTCTTTGGCACAGGGATTTATCTGCTTGCAAAATTTGAAGGTGTTACTGACAGGAAACTGTACCACCTAAATAACTACACTATCAGTGGGCACTCTTTGGAACACTTGTGCTTAGCACTGATCCCAATTTTACTCAGCGTAATGCTTATCTACAGGGAACTTAAGTTTCAAAGGTATTCATTTGATCAAAATGTCTTGCGGCTATACTGATTCCTTGTAGAAATCGGTATATCCAACTGTCCTTATTATTCCATTTCTGAATCAATTATATTTTTCACCTATTCTACTGCAGTTCCCTGAGAAGAGATGCGGTCTCTTGTTCTTATATATTTGTTCGCTTGATGACAGATTAGTTGATCTTAAAGATCGACCATGAAGAGGCAGAAAATTGATGATTACTCAATTGGGATGCTTGAGAGATATTGCAGTACTGAACGAGTGAAAATTGCCTTCAGGAATCTCTGTTCTTTTCCCTTAACTTGTAGGTCTAACTAGTCTAGCTGTACAGTGGAGTCAAATTCCTTTATTATCTCCATATGAAGGAATCTCTGTTGATACCAAACTGCTCTTGCCTGGTGGGTCATCATGTGGGTGGGAGCTCATGCATTTCAGATTATTTAGGATATGTATGAATCATGATGGAGAATCTGAGGTGACGGCATTGCCCTTCTAACTTGAATTGGTTTTTGTTTGTCATTGCCCTTCTCAGTATTGAAACTATTGTGATAACAACACATTGAGTCATCAACGTGAGGCATTGAAAATTTTGTAATTAGTTTCTGTTGATTTTATTTTTCCCGAATTTGTTTTTTCTGATGTGAGAATAACTAACATGAAGAACAGATTCTGATGTGAACTTGTGTCTGACTTAAGATTACGCTCTTCTTTGTTTGCTGTCTGGATTTATTATTATCGATAAAATCCAGGTGGGCATCAAGGATCCATGATTCACATTAACAATGTCCATGGCACGTGTTGGGACTTTAGATGCGCATTTGGCAAATATATGCTTCCTTCACATGCTGTTGCTTTGTCTTTTTGAATAACTTTTATGTCTTGTTTATTTATATTGCTTCAAACATATTCATAATCATGTGGCTTGTACCCTTGTACACATGATTATTTATTTGTATTACGTTCGGTGATCTTTCGTTTTCTTTTGGGCCCTTTCCTTCTCCATTATGGTAAGGTAAGATCAAATGTGTTGTTTAGAGTTTGATTGCTTTCTTTATATATTTAAGTTAGAAAAACGGTTGCTTCTGCCTACAAAATTGAATATTGTAAATAGTTTAAATAATTGTTAGCTCATACAACTTCGAGACATTCGAGGGGTACTTACATACATGCACATGCACATGCTTTGGTTTCAAATTATTGTTGGGTTCATAATCTCTTGTCGAGCCCAACAAATAGGCATTTGTCGCTGTGGTTCGGTTTTGTAACGTAGCTGAGATGTGGTATATTTCTTCCTAGCTAAAAGCGCAAAAACACAGTCATAAATGATGTAATTCAAATAAAAAATAAAATACTAAGCTAATATTTTGACAACTCAGGTACACATTTTGATTTGGATAAACAGAAACCCGGTCTAGCTTTCCTCATAGAACAGTGTTTGGGACTTGAACATGAAATAAAAACTGCTCGATGGTTGTAGTGTAAAGATCACGGAAAAGGGTTTCAAAGGCTAGTGGCAGCACCAAACCGCAATGTCAACCGGAAAATTAAATCACAACATTCGGTAGGGGTCGTATCTGGCAATCTTGAATTTAAGTTATAAAAATGCAACATCGTTAATATTTGTTAGGGACACTAAATAATTTTACCTGACTCAAACCTAACCAAGGTGAATCAAACTCAATATATAAATTTATTTTATAAACTATATTCTTTTTAAATATATTTCAGTTAATTTACACTTGTTTTGTTAATCTTCTTAGAATTTGTAATTCAGTTATATTTTTTTTTCTTTGATAAAGTCAGTTCTTTTAAGTGACACTAATCGTTCTATTAAAAACACCTTCAATTATAAAATTTGGAAAAAACTAAATTAAATCAAACTTGGAAATTTCATCACAAGTGATGGGATGATATCTTAAATATGACAAACAATGTATGCATAAATTGAAATAAAAATTAATATTACTTTTAATACACTGTTAGTGAAAAAAAATTTATACTATCAACCAATTGGAAATTACTGTTGATATGACTTTTAAAATGATTATTACAAAAATTAATGATTCTTAATGACAGTGTAAAAGAAAATTTACACTAGATTAATAAAAAATTTACGAAGTAAATATAAACTTTGAAGAATGAAAAAAAAAAAAACTAATTTAGATTATGTATTTCAGGGTCTTCCCTGCCAAATGTTCTCCTATTGTTACACCCCAAGAAAACAAAATCCCTCTTAAAGTCAAATAGTGAAAATCCAATCCAAGTGTCATCGTTCTGTGTACAAAACGTTTCATAGTTTAAATATTAGGATAATCATCAATTATTTAGAAGGTGAATTTGAAAAATAATTAATTCAAGTAGGATTTGGGTTAGAAATGGACCACTGAGTGGGTTGGGAGGTAAGGTAAAATATTGACTTTGGAGTCAAGCAAATGCAACAACGAAAATGATTACAAAACTAATACTTAATAGTTACAATGTCAGGTGTCAATCAACAATGAAGATCAGTGTGCGCATGTTATTACGATCATAATCATGATTTTTACTCCGTGCATTGGGTTAGAATAGTTTCTACTTTTATGGCCTTATTTGTAGTAAGAATTCGAATTAATTAATTAATTATTGCCTCTCAATCGTCTTGTCATTACTGTAGGCTACCATTCCATTTTGACCAACCGAAAGTCAATATTTCTTTTGGTTATATACAATTTAAATGATTAAAGTATTACATCGTTACAACCAAACACAGCGTTACCGTTTTCATATGTCGACTACGTAGGCCATTTGTCTTACCAGCTGTTGTCGATGATTGGAAACAGTCCAATGGTAGCAAAAGAACACGGAAATGTAACTGGTTGCGTAAACAACACTGAATTTATTATTCAAATTCGCAGGGCATTAGTGATTGGAATGTGATTGAAAATTAGATCGTTCTTCATAATATCAAGAGTTTGTGCCAGTAGAAAATATTTATGAATAAGAACAATTTTATTATAAACAGAGTCTTGTAAATATTTGTAGTCTTGCGCTAGGAAGAACAAAACCTCATTGACAATTCATTTAAAATAAAATTTTCATTAGAAATTATTATATAAAATATTAATTTTAATTGATTGTAAACATTTGAGAGAATATATTTATTATCGCTTAATTTATGACTTGTTACATGCTTAAAAAGAAATGGTTGAAAATAAAATCTGGAGAAATACGCGTGGCCATAAGATCTCGTGGCTTGTAGTTGTATTGCGGATCATGTTGTCCATTCAATGCAAGTCTTTAATTTCAACCATACATTTGTTTTTCATATTGTAAATTTTTTAAATTTATAGACCAAAATCTGAAATATCTGATCAACTAGATTCAAATTGAATAAAATTATTAAGAACGATAAAATTCTTCTTCTAACATTTAACTGCACTTATATTTTTAAGAACTAAAACTCAAAATTATCAATTTAATTAAAAAAGTGCCATTACTGAATAAATAGATGTAAAATGAGTGGACCCAATGTTACCGATAGTTCACTCAACCAAATGTTACGAAGCCAAAAAACCTCAGGAAAGAAAGAGAGGTGTGTGTGCAAGATAAGCAAAATTACTGGGATACAAACCTTGACTTAATTGGCACTCAAGTTTTAATAATAACAAATAAGTAATTAACAAAAGGATTAGAAAAGAAAGGGATAGAATAAGGCTAAAAATCCAAATGAAGTAAATGAAAAGAAAAAGAGGGAGTTACTGCAAAGAAGAAGAAAAAAAGAAAAGAATATTGGTGAGGTGGAAGCATCCACTTTAGGTTCTGAGTACCTATCTCTTCTCTCTTTTCCCTCTACAAAGCTTCTTCCTTCCTCAAACCCCCTCTATCACTCACCGCACTTCACTTCCATCACACTGCCCTACTTCCAAAATGACAGACCCATCATCCAAACCCAACGGAAACGGCGCAATTAACGGCGCCGCCACCGCTAACGGCAATCCCGGCCCCGTTAAATCCCAACTCTACAACCCAAACCGTCAACTTTACCGGCCGCAATCTCACTACCACCGCCGTCAACGCTCCCACCGGAACCTCTGTTGTTGCTGCTGCTTCTGGACCATCCTCACCGTCCTCGCCGTGGCGCTCCTCGCCGCCATTGTCGGAGCCGCACTGTACGTACTGTACCGTCCTCATCGACCCGAATTCTCCATCACAAACCTCCGCATTGCGAAGATGAACCTCACCACTTCCAGCGACTCACCCTCTCACCTCACCACACTCTTCAACCTCACCCTCATCGCTAAGAACCCCAACAACCACCTCGTTTTCTTCTACGACCCCTTCACCGTCACCGTCTTCTCTAACTCCGTCCCCATCGGAAACGGGTCTCTCACGGCGTTTACTTCCGACAAGAACAACCAGACGAGTCTCCGAACGGTGCTGTCGGGTTCCCAAGATCTGGACACGGACTCGTTGACTAGCCTCAGATCGGGTCTGAAGAACAAGAAGGGTTTCCCCGTTGAGATTCAGATGGATACTAAGGTCAAAATGAAGATGGATTGGCTCAAGAGCAAGAAGGTTGGAATTAGAGTCACCTGTGACGGAATCAAAGGTTCGGTTCCCGCCGGTAAGTCTCCGGCGATCGCTTCCGTCATTGACTCTGAGTGTAAGGTGGATCTTCGAATCAAGATCTGGAAGTTCTCTTTTTAGTTCTTTCATTGGTTATTTCTATTATTATTATCATTGCCAAATTCGTTATTATCAACATCGGTTTCAATAATCAATTCTATCATCCATCCCTTCTCTCCCTTTATTTTTAAATTTCATTCTTTTTTTGTTTTTGTTTTTCGGTAGAGGGGGAATGGATTGATTATGGTAATCATGAAATGTGGCACGAGTTTCTTAGCCTATTCAAGAAGAATGTGTTGAGAAGGTGAAATTTGTGAGAAAAAAAGAAAAAAAAATAATTTTGAGCTTGTAATATGAGATTTAGGGCAGAAAGCGCCCTAAATTTAGTTTTTTTTTTTAATTTGTCATTGTAGTTTGCTGCTGTAATTTGTTTCAAAGTTTTTATAGTAATGCAACTGCAATTATATCTGGGTTTTGAAATCTAATAGCTACTCCTCTATGTCTTTGTTGTCTTCAATAGATCTCTGCTTAATTGATCCCACTCTCTACCAATCTTGATCCATTCAGATTCTGTACATTGGTTTGAAGAGGAATACTAATTAATACAATTTTTTTAACACGCTTGCACATGCTTTGTGATTGATAAAGTTTTTAAAAAAATATTATTTTTTAAATAATCAATTTATAATCTTAGTATTTTGATTTGTTTAAAATAAACTAAATATATAAAATGTGTTGAAGAGTATATTAACATTTCTCTTTGAATGAATATGAATAATATAAAGTAACAACAAAAATGATGATGGTTTGGTCATTACAGTAAATAATATGAATTAGAACAATACTGTTGTGAAAATGAGAATAATATTATAAAAATAAAAACAAATCATTAGATATTATTTAAATGATTAAAATTGAAAACAATACACACTTTTTAATTACTCACATGATTATTAATTAATTTTTAATATTAATTATTTATGTACAGCTGTATGTAGATAAAGAATAAAAATAGCTATAAATAATATTTTCTGTTGTGTTAATTAACTATTTAAATGAGATTGTTAGAGTTTGTGTGAAGAGGTGAATCATAGGATGATAATGTAAGAGCGAAACGAGGAAAATAAGTTAAAGAGAAGCAGACGAGGGATTTGTAGGTGCTGTTCAAGATTTTCTGGCAGACTGACTGAGAGTTTCAACTTAGAAGCAAAAGAAAAGTACCTGAACTGATGCAAAATGCGTTAGATCAGATGCTGTTCTGTCCCACCCAATTGCCACGCGCACTTGAGTTTCTATGAAACGACGTTCCTCTGTTCTATACATTACTGTGCACTTAACTGCTAATAGCAACAAATCAGTTAGTTAACAAAGATATGAGGCACACATCGTAGTTTGTGTGTTAGTTAAGGGAATGGAAAAGACGCAGCAGAAACAAGAACTCTCTTTCTTTTACCAAGTGGACTGGTCAAAATTTTATTTTGGGGCCAAAGCAGAGATCCCAAAAAATTTGTGCCTGTGGATCTGAAGGCAATGAGTCGTGGGTACTGTACGAATCTTTAAATGCTTTCCATTTTCTACCCTTCCTATGGCTACCTCTCTTTGCCGTGGAAATCCCAATTTCCTTCCTCAGGCACATGTAAACTTCGATATTGGATTAGATCCTAAGGGCCTACCTGCTCCATACATTTTGACAGTGATCGATCCTATGCACCGTAAAAACAAGTATTTCAAGGAATTGGTAAAAGTATTTTTCAAAGATGTTTGAACCATATTTTTTAATTTAAAATTAGATATTAATCATATGGAGAATTACTGCAAAAGAAAAAAAATTTAAACTGCTCATTTATATTAAAATGAACTTAAACATAATACATATTAAATTTTTAAGGAAAAAAGTATAATTTAAACTTCCTTTAAGAGAAAAAAAATATAGCTTACTATAATTTTTAATATTTTTTATTTATTATTTTCTTAATTAATACGACCATAGCAAGACTACAAATAAAGCAAATAAGGAGAGAACAAGTTCTCTGTATACTAAGAAAAACTTCCTTTTTCTTTATAAACAAAATCTGAATGTGTAACTGTACAAGTGATTTCTCATTTACCACCATCAACTCATCAAGTGAAGTGCATGATAGTGATAAGGGTGTCTTAATTTGGGTGCACGTGGTTACTATGGGTTTTTGGTCTCTGGTCGGCAAGGCAATTAGATCTATCAACTATCCTCCAATTCTTTTTCTCAGTTTGTGTCCCCTCTTTTGGTACTTTAATTTGTTTTTCTTGGTCTCCTCGTGTTACTTGCATAAAGGTAGTGATGTAATAAGATTATGATATATGTGCTAGTAATTTATGGCTTAATTTCCTATACCTATAATATAAGTGTGTGTCACTTCCAATGCAATTGTCAATGGCACTAATCCAACCACGTGAACCTATTTGAAGAATTGGCGAAGCTGGTATCTTGGAATCACAAGGTAAGGGCCTATGAGTCCAATTTCAGAAGAGAAAACGATCTCGAGAATGACATTATGTTATATCACTGATTATTGGGAAAGTTTCGTGCTCCCGAGTATCAAATCTATATCAATGCTGTGACTCGTGTTTAATTTGTAGTTTTGTGACACACTTAATTTGAGCATTATAAAAAAAAATGATAAATGGGAATTGGAGAATGGTCGTTTTGATGATTGTGACCCTAGAGCACAGAATGACAATGCTTGTCCTTAGTCTAATGGAATTAATGGTCCATGCAAATAATTTGGTGGTATATGGTCAAATAAATGATTGCAAGCATTTGTTTCAGGAACATTATTGAACGGCTAGCTTATGATAAAAGAAACAAGTATCCTAATAACATGGCACTCACGCTGGGCTGTTTGGGCACTAGAGCACCTTCTCCCCATAAGCGAATAGAAAATATCAAATATTTTACATATTATTAGTTTCTTTCAGTTCGCTCAGTTAAATTTTTTTAATCCATTTCCAAATTTTATTTTTTGAATCGCTCAGTTGTTAGGGTTTGCTGGACCTGGTGGAGGTTAGGTGGAATTCAAGGGTGTATCAATTACATTGGAATTTAAAGTTGTGGGAAAATATGTTACATAATTAATATATTGGTTAAACTAAATCAATCAATAATAAATGCATTATTATTTTATATTAAATAATCATATGAAATTTTGGCCATGTGATAGTATCTATTATTGATTACTTTGAGTCTGAAAGTTTATTTATTTTTTAAATATTTTTAACTGAAATTTTTAATTTCTTTAAAGTGTTAAAATATTTTTTAAAGTTTATATTTTTTAAAAGTACATAATCATAATAATTTTTTAAACACTTTTAATCAAAAATACTTTGTTCTTTTAAAAACACAAATATACATTACATCAATTATACAGGTTTATATTTCACATTCATTAATTCATTCTTGCACGTCATAGGATTCAAATAGAAAATAAAATGTTATATATATACATCTCCTTCGTGCTTTGTTCCAGTCAAATTTTGAGTCAAACTAAACTTACATAAATAAATAATAGAACAAGTTAATAAATTATTATAAGAATTTTAAAAAATTCCAAGATATTAACCAAAAGAATAAATAAAAAATTGTAAATTTTCGAAGAAACAGATGTTTATAGAAGAGTTAAAGATAAATTTTGATTAATAAATTTATTATAGATAATTATTTAATAATAGACATTACGTCACATGTACCTTTTTTGTTTTGTCTCCACCGTTGTAGCTAAATGCAATGAACTAACCAAGAGAAGGAAGAATATAAATACAAGTTCTATTATTTAAATTATTAAAAATTCATACTATATATAATGCTGTTATAAAAAAATATTATATATAATTACTTTTACCTTTTATTTATTATGTTATATATGTGTTATAAAAATTTACTTTAAATATTAAAAAAAATCCTATTTTATTGATACATCGCATATTTTTCTATAAATACATGCAAACAAGTTGAGTAAATAGTGATGAAATCTATTTGTGTAAGGTATATTTCGTGAGAAGCGAACATTTATCAATTTGATTATAAATCTGTTAATAAGGGTATACAAACAGGCTGATAGGGTTGAGTAGCTTTTGTTTTGTAGCCAATCAGATGAAATTTTTGGATAAAAGAAAAGAGAGGGTGAAGGAGTGGGGACTTTTGACAAAGATTCATTATATATAGAATATAACATTAAGAGCAGCTTTACCGGAGAAACTCAGATGAATTTTTAAATTTACTTTATAGTGTTAAATAATTTTTTTTATTTTTTTTGTTTTAATAGTAAAACTAAAAGTTTTTGGATTTTTTTTTGCGAGTTCTATTAAAATTATTATATTATTTGTTTAAAATTAAATTTAATAAATTTAAATTTAATATTATTACACAAAATTATTTTGAGAAATAGTGTAGTTCTTTTTTATCCCTGAGGCCTCTAGCGTAGAGCATTTTTATTGGTGATTAATGATGGAGAGCTAATTTTAAGTTAAGAACCATTTCTAAGAACCTCCAATAAAAATATTTTAATGACTATGTGATTCCTTAGTATAAATATATACTTAAGAGTTAATTTTAAAAGTTATAAAATAATTAAAAATTATCAAATATTTTATAATCCAATGAAATAAATAATTAAAAATTATCATATAAAATAAAAATTATTATAAGAACTTAAAAGAAGAACATGAAAATTATAATAATTCTTTAATAAAGGAATTATTTGAAAAGAAAAATTATGGGAAAAAAATGAATTTGAAAAGTTTTCAGAATAAAATATATAAAATAACATATCAGTACAAATTTAATATATATGATTTTATTAATTTAAAAAATTAATCTATTTTTTCTTAAAAAAATATCTCTTAAATAAATTCTAAAGTTGAAGGAAAATGAGTAAAAATAATTATTTTCCTTTAATTGGAAGGTTTTAAAATAAATCTTATCTAAAAGAGAAAGTCTTCAAATAAATCTATATTTGTAAAATCTTATCTACATCAATAAATCCTTGCTTTTAAATTAGATTAGTGGAATACATTTTTCTTCTTAAGGAAAACATATCAACATTAAAAATTAGTGATACTACACAAAGAATACTTTATAAATTTGAATTAAAACAAGAACTGAGTTGGACAATAATTTACATTTTTTTTCTCAGGTCTTCATATTCGCAATAGTAACTTTCATCAGACATCATATTTTTAAATATAAAAACATTTACAAAGCATTTTTGGAATCAGGTAAATCGAACACAACACGAAAAGGTATTCCCTCTAAATGTACAAGTAACATTTTCCTTATTAAAACAAATGAATGGGATATCCAACTCATTATTTAACTCACTGTAACATGGTGTGAGCCTGACTCAGGATTTAAGTAACATTCACTAAAGTGGAACCAAATTAGTTACCAGATGGAAGGAATATGTGACCTCACCACTGTCTTGTTCCTCGAAG